CGCTTGAGCTTCTGGGCTCCCCCTAATTGTGATTTTTCTTCCTTATGTTCTCTCAGATCTGGTTCCCACAAACTGATTCACACTGAGGTGAGGAAGTCTCAGCTCACAAATTTTCCCATTTTGCCTGAGGAGTTGCTCTTCTAAAAGGTGACTTGTAGGCTCCAGTTTCTCCCAGAGGCCCCTTCCCCACTTCGGTAATTTAAGCCTTTTAAAAAGAATGGGTGTCAGGTCCCTGACTAATCCATCCACTTCAGGAAGGACCGGGAGGGGAGGCACACCTCTCCCCAGTCTGGCTGTGTGCCTGTCTTGGCTAACTTTTGTTTGCAAGGCAGTGTGAAAGGACCTGACGCACAACTTCAGAGCAGTTTCAGGAAAGCTTCCAGGGACAGCGGCAAAGAGGAGCAGACAGAGGACACTCCTAAAGGAAAGATTTCGAAGAACTCCACCCCTCCCCGGAGTATTTTAATTCAGATCCTCAAATATGACTACATTGTGACATAAGGATGATCAGCAGTGATTACCACTTTGTCTATTTTTTAAAAATATATTTTTATTGATTTCAGAGAGGAAGGGAGAAGGAGAGAGAGATAGAAACATCAATGATGAGAGAGAATCACTGATCAGCTGCCTCCTGCTCACCCCCTTCTGGGGATCGAGCCTGCAACCTGGGCATGTGCCCTTGACCGGAATCAAACCCAGGACCCTTCAGTCCACAGGCCAATGCTTTATCCACTAAGCCAAACTAGCGAGGGCTGTTTGTCTATTTTTTATATTTTAGAGAGAGTGGCAGGGGGAGAGAGAGAAAGATCGATGTGAGAGAGAAACATCGATTGAGCCTGCAACCCAGGGCACTGACTGAGAATTGAACCGGTGACGTTCTGGTGCATGGGAGGACACTCATCCAAATGAGCCACACCAGCCAGGGCTACGATTTCTCACTGTGAAGCAAAGCAAGATGGACTCAGAGCCTTCTAGCCCAAGGACTGGGTTTTTAGCTGGTTTTTCTACCCTGGAATCTAATTTTGATGCCCATCTGATGCCAGCCTGAAATTGGCACCACAGACAGGGCCTGGCCCCATAATGAGGCTCTGGAAGGTCTTTCCTCAAACGCTTGATTATTGTCAGAGCCCCAGCTGATGTGTGGCTCTGCTCACACGGAGGCAGAGCGTGGGGGGAGAGACACAAGCTGGGATAAGAGAAATGTTGACCAGTCAGCTGCTGGGGCTTGGGGACAAGTCCCCACGTCACCTGACATCTCCACTGTTGTGGTAGCCACTGCTGTGGTAGCAGGTAATACTTACCTGGCACTTACTGCGTCACAGGTACCATTCTCTGCCCTCTGCGAACGTAACTCTCACAGCAGTGAGGCCAAAACTGAGGTAGGTGCACTAATCATCCCAACTGATGAGGATGCGGAGCCACAGAGACACTAAATGACCCTGCCTAGGGACTCTGTGCTAATGAGTGGGAACTGGGACTTGCACCCAGGCAGCCAGGGCACAGAACACGCGGTTCCCATCGTGCCACACAGTCTTTGGTAAAATGATGTGACTGTGACAGGATGTGACCTGATATCACAGAGGTTTTTGCACAGGATGTAGAGAGTTTATGTGCTGCATTTTGTGCTCTTATCTTGAGATGTAGGCCACGATTATTTTTCAAGACCCTTATTTCTCCCAGGGGGGAAGACGCAACCGTTGACACCTGATCAAATTGCTTTCAGACTCAAGTTTATGGGTCTCTAGCATTTGTGTTGAGTGGGTTGAAGATTCAGAACACGGTCCCAGATGTTGTCCAAAAGGCTGAGAAACAAGGCTCAACTCCCCACTCAACTGCACTCTGAGTTTATTCACCTGCTGCCACACCTGGATCCATCCCGACCCCCTCCCCTGGTCTTGTTCCCTGAGGGGACAAAGCTGGGGTGCTTTGCTCTCAGCTGCCTCCTCAGGGTGTGGCCCGGGATTTCAGGAAGGAAGGACTAAAGGCGTGGGCTTCATCTTGGGGCGGCAGGACTGGAGCCAACCCTGTCAGTGGTCGTTGGTGGTGCCAGTGTGGCTGGCCGCGGCTCTCCGTTTGCTGGGGGGTATTGTGCCAGGGCGTAGAGAAAGCCACCCAGGGCTGCCACGGCCATGGCTGTGTTGTGGGAGGAGCAGCCATCTGGGGAGAGAGACAGAGTGCTGGGTGGGGCCACAGTTCCATCCGGAGCGCTTTGCAGTTACTCCCCCAGCCAGCCCCGGGGCGCAGTTGGGTTGGGCACCCACCCACCTGCTGCTGTGAGTGTGTTGGCTGCCAGTGGCTTCCTTCTCCAGAGAAATGTCTTCAGCCATCTGGGAGGTTATACCTCCCAATGACTTAGTAATACAGGGACCCAAAAGCCAGGCCCCTGTCTTGGGGTGTGACTCGGTGGTGCGATTCCTGCTCGAGCCCCCTCCCATGGGATCTGACCTGAGGCCACATGCACCCTTGTCCAGCTCCTTCCTGTTTCCCTTGCTCTAAGGCCCTCTGAAACATTTAGCACCTCATTGCCCCATTTTACAGTTGGGAAAACTGAGGCGCAGGTAGCAGAGCTGAGCTCCCAGCCCTGGTAATTCCACAGTTCATTTCTTGACCCCGACAGCCTCCCTCATTGCTGCCTCGGGCCTGCAGGTCCCATGTGATACCTGCCTGAAGCAGGAACTCCTTAGATGTCCTTTAGTTCTCTGAACTCAAATGAACTCAGAGTGGGCCGCTCCCCTTCAGTTTCTGGGACGGTGGGAGGAGCGAAGACTTTACTCTCCTCTCACAAACTGGAGAAGAGAAGAACCCCAGCCAGGCCCCTTGGAGGGAGGGAGAATGCAGGTTTCCAGGAACCTAATGACTCACCCTGGCAGTCCACACTTATCCATGGCCTACCGTACACCAAATTCTGTGGGGATTGCTTTGCACAATGATCTGATATTAACCCCAACAGCCCTATGAAGGACACTCTGTTTGGTCCCCATTTTACAGAGGAAACTGAGGCTCAGAGAGGTAGAGTGATACCCACAGTGAATAACGGCAGAAGCAGATTCAAACCCAGACAGCCTGCCTTCAGATCCTGTGCTCCTGACCTCCATGGGGGTGCGCCATAAATGAAGGAAGGAGCACATTGCTCCATCCTGGGCAGTTTTCTAGGCTGCTGGTCAACCATCAGGGGCACAAGTTAGGGCCGGGGCTTCTGAATTTCTCCAGTTCTCTCCCCAGCTCTCAGTCTCTAGGAGGCAGCCAGCTCCGAGGGTGTGCACAGCAGGCCCCCTACCACCCTCACAGGCAGCCCCTGCCCCTCCATGTCCGGAAGGCCTAGCCAGGGCAGGGGCCTGGAGGAGTCAGTCTCCTGAGAGTCCCTTGCCCTACCCAACCCCTGGGGGCAGCTGTAAAATGGACCCATTGCATATGTGATGCCACTCCCTCTCTTGTCTACCTGCAGGTAGGTGTGAGACCATGGTGGGGTTGATGGTGAGATGCTTAGTTACCGAAATCATCCCCCAGCGTACGCTGGACATCTACTCTGAGCTGGCTACTCCACTTCCCTTCCTGTTTTTGCCTTGCAATTACTTATTTTTATTAATAAAAAGATTGAGCCCGGCCAGCGTGGCTCAGTGGTTGAGCGTCAACCTATGAACCAGGAGGTCACGGTTCAATTCCTGGTCAGGGCACATGCCTGGGTTGCAGGTTCGATCCCGTGTGGGGTGTGCAGGAGGCAGCCGATCAATGATCCCCTCACATCATTGATGTTTCTGTCTCTCCTTCTCTCTCTCTTCATTTCTGAAATCAATAACAATATATTTTTTAAAAATAAAAAGATTGGCCGAAACCGGTTTGGCTCAGTGGATAGAGCGTCGGCCTGCGGACTGAAGGGTCCCGGGTTCGATTCCGGTCAAGGGCATGTACCTGGGTTGCGGGCACATTCCCAGTGAGGGGCGTGCAGGAGGCAGCTGATCGATGTTTCTCTCTCATCGATGTTTCTAACTCTCTATCTCTCTCCCTTCCTCTCTGTAAAAAATCAATAAAATATATTTTAAAAAAAATAAAAAATAAAAAGATTGAAATCAAGTCCTCCTCTCTTTATTCTTTCTCCCTCCCTCTCTACCTCTCTCCGCCCACCCCTTTATTCCATGTTACATTTTGCCTTTCTTTCCTTTCCAATATAGTTATATCCTATTCTCAGTCTCCCTGAATGGGTGAGCTAACCACATAACTTACCTTTTCAACCAGGACGCTTTGGGGAGGAAAGGGGGCACTATTCATAATGACACCAGAAAAATTGGTGTAAGCTGGGGACGCCAGGACATGTGGCCCTTGGGATTGTGCTGGTTACTTGGGTGCTGGCTCCCAGATTCCCTCCCTACCCCTCATTGCTCCAAATCCTAGTGCGCTGACCTCTTCAAACTACACTTCCCAGGCTGCCTTGCCCACCAACAGCAGGCAACGTTGCCTACATTTAATTCCCTCTTGGGGAGGTTCACATGTGGGTTCTGTTCTCCTGATTAGACTTTGATGGAGAAGGGTTAACTCGGTGGTTTTCCAGTATTACCCGGAAACTTCTCTTTCGTGCTCCTTTCACTGAGACAATATCTCTGGACTTACCATTTTCCTAGGGGAGGGCGTCAGGGACTCCTAGCCTCACCCGTCTCGGCCCAACCACAAGTGCGCTTCGATCAGCCCCTTCAGAGATGCAGGGCCTGCCTTCCACCGAGGGCCATCTGTATGCACCTCCTTTCTGGACATCTCCGTTTCATGCCAAGAAGGTTCCTTGGGTATTTTTATTACCTGCAAATAGTTTTTCCCGCCTCTTGACTCTTCTCGGAGAATGCTGCTGGTGTTGAATGACGTTAGATAATTCCTCATCTTCAGTATCTGGGAGAAGAGTGAAAGATGAACTTCTCAAGATGGATTTTAAAACATTACGTGCTGAACAGCCTCCAATTACAACGCCTCAAGCCACTCAGCTCCTCTCTTGGCTCTGGAGGCTCTTCCAGAAGTCCCCTGGAGCACCTGTCTGCAGACCATTTCGCAGGGCCTAAATTTGTCATCTGGTATTTCTCAAATTGTGGTCCCCCACATCTGAATGGCCAGAGGAGCACATTAAAAATGCAGGTTCAGTGGTTGAGCGTCCATCTATGAACCTGGAGGTCACAGTTCGATTCCCTGTCAGGGCAGTGCCAGGGTTGTGGGCTTGATCGCCATTGTTGGGGGCGTGCAGGAGGCAGCCTATCAATAATTCTCTCTCATCATTGATGTTTCAATTTCTCTCTCCCTCTCCCTTCCTCTCTGAAATCAATAAAAAATATTTAAAAAATGCAGGTTCCTGAAACTAGTATGATATTGTATGTCAACTGCAATTGAAAAATAAATTGAAAAAAATTATTTTTAAAATGCAGGTTCTACAGCTCCACCTCCACCTGCTGAATCTATAGGTTTGGGGTCCTGAAAATCTTCATTTCCTGATCTCCTCTGTTTCAAAACCAGACTCTCTTATTTCAAAAGCTGTGCCTCTTGGAGCATCATAATAGTTTCATTTAGGACACCAGCGTGGATTGGGAGCCTCCTCTGTACCCAGACAGGTCAGGTGGTTTCACATGTGTTATACCTGCTCCTCAGTTTAGAAAGGAATTATGCCCATTTATTTACAGACGGGGAAACTGAGTCTCAGAGAGGGAAAGCAACTTACTCCAATGAGGACCAGACGACCAGTATCACATGGCTGGAAAGGGACTACATCCTCCACCCTTTGCTTCTATGTCACCCCTCCCAGACACCCCCCCCCCCACTCCGCCTAAAGAATCTTCCATGATGGTCTTTCCCTTCTCAGCCTGTGTCTCCTTCACAGCCCTTTCAGAACTCACAATTATTTCACTATTGGTTTGTTTAGGTAGGATCTGCCTCTTTTTTTCCCAGTGCCCTAGTTGACCTGGAGCCTAGCACAGTGTCTGGCACACAGTAGGTACTCAGGGAATACTCGTTGAGGAATGCCTTTTTTAATGCAGGTGCAGGGGGCTAACATCTTTCAACCAGACTGCCTCCTGTCCCGCAAGGTTTTGGCTTCCAAAGTTCCGAGCCCATGTCCCCTCGTGTGTGTGTGTGTGTGTGTGTGTGCGTGCACACACACACACACACACACACACACATATGGGTGTTGCAGATCTCTCTTTGCGTCCCTAACACCACTGTGTCCCTTTCCCCATCTGGTACAGAACATGCTCCCAGCCAGGGCCGGAGGGCAGCTCACCAGGCCTCCCGAAGCATCCTTCCTGCGGCTTCTGCCAGCTGAGAATGGCCTCCAGCCACCGGAGCTTGTAGAAGTCGGAGAAGCCACCGATTCCACAGAGCATGACTGGAAGCAAACACAGGGGACCCTCTGCAACCCTGTCCCCACAGGTCCACCTCCTCCCACTCTCCAGGCCACTGCAGTACCATCTGCCTCCTCCCACCAGGGCCAGGCAGTGCCAGGAGGTCGACGCTCAACGCAGTGGCCGACAGGAGGCAGCCCTGAGGCTCTGCATTAGGAACAGCGGCTCCCGGCCTGGCTCCTGCCTCCCACTTAGGTCCTTGTTCAAAGTGAGTCTAGAGTCAGGATCAGGAGAGGGATCTGGACACGGAAGCCAAGAAGCGGCCACCCAGGACCCCCTTCCGGCCTCATCTCTAAGGCTCTAACTGTTGGGCGGCAGTCTGTCCATCCAGAGCTCTGTCGCTGGGTCAGCCTCTGGGGGCAGGAAGCAGTCAAAACAGTGGCAGATAAAACACAGGAGGCCCAGTGAAATCTGAGTTTCCAATAAACAACAAATTACAATTTTTTAAGTATAAGTATAGCTCATGCCATGTTTGGGAGACATTTATACTAAAAGTTATTCATTGTTTTTGTGAAGTTCAAATTTACCGGGCATCCTGTACTTCCATTTGCTCACCCTGGCAGCCCTACTCTGCGTGCATATGCCCGTTATCAGGGACACCCTGTTGCGCTGTCCCCGCAGAGAAATGCCCACTGTTTTCCATGAAGATGTCCCGGATGGGATAGGCGTATCCGGCGGCTTCGGCCCTCTGGTTCAGGTCCATCATGTTGGCGCAGAACAGGTCCATGTAGTGCTGGCTCTGGCGGAACAGCCCCTTCGTGCATCCCTTCTGCGGCGACAAAGGGGGTTGGTGGTACAGGTGACAAGTGTGCCATCTGTTTGGGGAAAAGACTTGCAGTTCTGAGATGGTCCTAAAGTAGCTGCCTTTGGGTCAGGTCTTTCCCCTTTTCCCAGAATTTCTCCCCCACCATCTTAGTCTGATGGAGCTCAGTCACTGGGCTCAGAGAGATCTGGGTTTGAGTCCTCTGCCACTTAGGAGCTGTGTGACCTTGGTCGCCAAGTTAGCCTTTCGGAGCCTCAAGGGTCTTCACAGGGAACGGGCAATGCTGCTGGGAGCTGCAGGGGCGGGACGCTCATACTGGCGAGCTATATATACTAGAAAATGCCGGACAAGATGCCCAGCACAAGGGGGCACCCTATAGCCACTAGCTGCTGTTAGGACATTCTGATTCCAGACTGGGCTGGTGGCTTCAGGGGCTACTCAGGGTGGGACTCGGTTACTGAGAGGGGACAGGAGATGAGACCAGGCTTTAGAAACTTTATGGCAATGTCAGGGCAACTTTCTACCTGTCGAATCTAAGTCAAAATAATGTTCCTCATTGCCCTATTCGGTTTGGCTCAGTGGATAGAGCGTCGGCCTGTGGACTCAAGGGTCCCAGGTTCGATTCTGGCCAAGGGCATGTACCTGGGTTGCGGGCACATCGCCAGTAGGGAGTGTGCAGGAGGCAGCTGATCAATGTTTCTCTCTCATGGATGTTTCTAACTCTCTATCCCTCTCCCTTCCTCTCTGTAAAAAATCAATAAAATATATTAAAAAAATAACGTTCCTCATAATTTGTTTTTTTATTGTATTTACAAAAATACTGGTCCATGATGGTTTGCAAATAAATAATAATAAAAGAATCTGTTAAACAAAGTCAGCAAGTCCCCTTTCAGATGAAATCTCTGGACAGTTAATAACATTTTAAAAATGGAGATAATGAGCCCTACCGTTCTATATAAAGAAATATAGATGTTTTAAAATGACCACTGTTATTATTTAGCAGAGTTTGAGCTCTTGGGCTTGGAGGAGCTTGGGTGCTGGAGAGGTGGGGCGGGGCTGGTTTGGTCTTGATTTGAGCTCCTGGAAGCAACTATCAACTCCAGTCTAAGTCCTTTTCCATTTGTTGGCATTTGCTGAGTTCTTTCTGCTGCTTCTCTTCAGCTGTTTTTATTTTTCTGATGCCCTACAATCCAGTTCAGCATGAAAAGCTCTCTGTCCAAAAGAATCCCAAATCCATAGCCCCTCTGTCCCGCCCCCAGACAGGTTGGTTAGATTGTCTAGCTGGTGGATGGCAGGCTACTCTCACTTCTCCTTCCAGTTGTCCGAAACACAAGCCCAAAAACCTGCTTACTTTCCCAGTGTGTAGCATACAAGATCACATAGCCAAGAGCCCCTTTTCATCAGCCTCCACCCCCTTGGGGTGTGGCCAGGCCTTCTCAGCACTCACCATTCTGGCCGAGAGGAAGAAGAGCAGCTGGTGGGACAGGCAGTAGCCTGAGCAGCCAGGCGTGGTCATGAGGGTCCTGCAGAAGTCTGAGAGCATGCAGGGCTGGCTGCTGTCTGTCCTGGGGGAGAGGTGGTTCCAGGCTGGTGAGGGTGTCCTAAAGGAAGTCCAAGGCCTCGAGCCTCCCCTGGTCCTGATTGCCCCACTAGGTACTAGAGCCCTGTAGGTTCCAGGCACCCAGCTGGGCACAAGGGGCTGCTGGATAAGACACAGGTGTCTGGGTTTTGATTGGCTAAATCTGTGCCCCCAGCACAAGGAGGTGACCTGGAACAGTGTTGGGTTGGAGGAGCCACTGGGACTGCAACTTCCCATTACTCCATGGGAACTCTGAACCCAGACAGCTTGGGGTCTGGGCCCAGCATGCCCAGTCCCCCTCCAGGCCTGCCCCATAAAAGAGACGGGACAAAAGGGGTGGGTCCCTTGCTGGCTGAGAGGGGACAGGACAGACCCTCGGTGAGCCCAGCTGTGTCCTGGCCCACACACCTCTTGGAAGGATGCTGGGGGCCTGAGCACCTGCTGCCCTCTGCCCAACGTTCCCTGCGTCTAGGGCTGCCCTGGGGATATGCTCGGGGCCAAGGCTCAGCAGGACAAAATGGGGGACTCAACGAGGCTCGAGGCTCGGGTCCCGCTCTCCAGACCTACAGCCTGGTGGGGACACAGAACCTTGAAACAAATGTATACTGCATCTGTGGCTCCTGTGGTGTTAGGCGAGGCAGCCCATCATGGGAGGCCAGCACATACAGTGGGGTCAGGGAAGGTTCTGGAGCTGGTCTTCAACTGTGAGCAGTTACTTAGGCACAGGGGTGGGGAGGATGGGGTGGGAGGAGGCCCCATAGGGGCATGTTCTTGACAAAGCGACAGGCTTCTAATGGGAGGGTGCCTCTCAGGGTGGACCAGAAGGGCCTGGGGGCCTGGAAGGGTGGTAGGAGGTAGGGCTTTGTCCTGAGAACAACAGGAAGCTTCAACTGTGGTTTGTGACAAGATCACTCTGGTGTGGGGAGACCAATCAGCAGGTGAGGATGGGCCTGCAGCGGTGGCCATGGCTGGACCAGGCTGGCAGCGTGGGTGGAGAGTGTGGCCCCCTCACATGTGCTGGGGGTGGGAGAGGGCGGTGTCAGGGTGGCTCTGGGGAAGCTGCTCCTGGTTTGCTATAAACCCCTGGGAACTCGGAGAGCTAGTGGGACAGGAGGACTGGGGGAGAGAGCACTTTTGGGTTTTCAGGAAGGGGGCAAGCATAGGGGGCCCACCCGGTTCCCAGCAGCTGCACCAGGCACATGTCACTGTGTTCCTCTGAGAAGGAGTCCTGGATCTCGATCGTGGGGTACACCATGGAGGTGTTGGTGTGTGTCCAGACGTGTGGGAGCTTCCAAAATCCGGGCTGGACGGTTGGCTGGAACTCTGGCGGAAAGAAGGGGATGGAGGGAGGGCCCCAGGCGCAGCGGGCCGTGCGGTGCTCAACCGCCCCCTAGCTCCTGTGGCTCAGAGCCCAGGACCTGGGTGATCCTCCCTGGGCAGCCCCGACCACATGGTGTCTGCTCAGGCTCTAAGCCTTGCCCGCTGGTTGGGCATTGCGTTTGAAACACTCAGGAGGCTCTTTTTCTAAGAAACAAACAAGCAACAACAAAAACAAACACCATAAAAATAACTAGAACAATGTTGGGACTGGCTTTGGCTAAATCCACGGCATCTGTGGAAGCTTGAGACAGATAAAAAGGGTTAGCTGGTTCCTACAGTTCAGAGAGAAAGTGAAGCTCTTATATCAGAAATACCCAGCCAAGGGGCTTCTCTAGAGTGACATGAGCTGGCAGGGTCTCAGGGGCCTGGCCTGGGAGAGGATGGAGGATCTCCATTGCAGAGGCAGGTCAGGGCTGGGCAGGGCTGGGTTGGGGTCACGGGCAGCAGGGCCTGGCAGGAGCTGTGGGCCTGGGAGACAGGGTCAGAGGAGCATGATGGGCTGGTTTTATAGCCCCTGGAGCAGTCCAGGCCAGGCTCATGGGATGCGGCCCTTCGTAGGGCAACTCAAGGCTGACCAGGGGAAGGAACTCCTAGCTTTATAGGGCACGAGACAGATGCTAGCGAGATGCTAATATTTGCTGTGCAAAGGGCTGAATTAGCATTTAGATTCCCACCTCCCGTCCCCTCTGGTCTAGGAAGAAGGTCCCCAACCTGGGCACAAGCTGAACAAACGAGAGGCGTCATGTTCCCTACTTTCCGCCCCCTCCGTGTGGGTGGGAGAGGTCGTCTCAGTCTGAAGTCAAGGATGAACAGACAGTCCCCAGCGCCAGCCTGTGGCGCGCTTGGCCGACAGGACAATAGGCCGACAGGACGCAGCCGTCCTCAACCCTCCCTTTGTGCCGGAGGCGCCGCACCAGGGTGTCTCAGTAATGTCCCCAGAGGCTGTGCTCCTGAAGAAATGGACTCCACCCCGTGCCATTACCTCTTAGGTACTGGGGGTCACTGAGCCTGAGGTAGGAGATGGATCTGTGGAGGAGAAGCTCCAGTTCCTGCGCCAGCTTCCCCATGCGCAGGCTCTGTGGCCGCAGCCGGGGGTCCCGGGCCCACTCCTCCTGAACACCTTTCAGCTGCACTGGGGGGGGAACAGAGAGCGCTCATTCCACCACCTGACAACCCGTGTGGGCAGGAAAAAGACCCTGCGAGCTAATGCTTACTGAGCCTCTTCCTCCTCCAGCTACGGAGGGGAAAGACTTTGCTGAGCTGATGGGGAAGTAGGCCTCTGTGGGGCTGAGCTGGGCCATGAGGGTGGAGCCAGAGTGACAGGAGGTGGTGGGTGGCTGAGAGATCTGGACGTGGGCCTGGATTCAAATCCTGACTCAGATGCTTTTTTGTTAGGTGACCAGAGAGTCATTTAATTTCTCTCCACTTCACTCTCTTCATCTGTAAGATGGGGATAATGATAGTCCTTCCTTCTTGAAGGAGGGGGTTATAAGGATTAACTGACCTAATGCATGAGAGGACTTAGCATTGTCCATAGTGCAAAGTGAGGGCTTAATCAAGTTTAGCTGCTCCTGCTAATTAAGGAGACAGGGTGGCTATACAGGAGAGAAAGGTAAGGGAGGATTCAGCTTGCAGGGCGAAGAACCACCATGTGCAGTTGAGCAAGTCGTAAGCCGCGTGAGGACAACACAGGTCCCCATCATGGGTTCGTGTGTATGTATTAAGACAATTTTCCAGCAGATGGCAGTCAAGTGACTTGAGGAAGGGGTTGCCTTTTTCTCATTCTCACAGAGGTGCCCTATGGGCTGACTAGCAGCGGCCCCTCAGGAGTGGGAGAGAAGGGTGGTGGCCAGAAAGAGAGGAGATGTCTTTGTCCCAGAGCCCCTCCTCCCGCTGGGGCCTGGTGGGCCGAAAGCTGCACTGGCTACTTACTAGTGCACAGAGGACTGACTTGGCACAGGAGCCAGCCAGAGCCCCAGGCTGACACCCCGTTGGCTCTTTGTCTCTTAGGGCGGCCTTTGGGGAAGGGTTTGCTGCCACTCATTGTGTGTTGAGGGTGTCTACCTGTTTGCCTTGGCCTGTCTCCAATTCCTTCCTCGGGGATCTTATATTTCTCAAAGCTGAACAAACACTTGGCTCTTTTCTCAGAGCCTCCTGGTGGCTTTGGCTGGAAGTAGGGAGTGCTGCGGCTGGGGGTGCTTTGTCCATGGCCACCCTCCCATAAATACCCCTTCAGAAGGCACACTTCCTCTGCCCACCTTGTTCATGGCATATCAGGAGGGACCGTCAAGTGGATCATTCCCTCCCGGGAAAACAATACTTTCCTAATCTTTTCTCGTGTGGCCTTTGAATCCTCCCTGCTTCTAAAATATCTGATAACTGCAGGGCTCCCAGACACCCCAAAGAAGCAAATCCTCCCTTTCCTAATCATCAAGCCAGAAGGTGGCCAGGTCCCAGGGGCACAGAGCAGGCGGGTGACAGGCTGAGAACTGGTTTCCTGGCGGCCAGTCCAGGGGAACGAGAGCACACCCACCTTCCAGCATCCGGAACCCCACCACGCCGTCCAGGTTGATTTCGGGCAACCTCTTCTCCAAGAAGGAGGTGGCTCTCTCCAGTGCCGAGAGGACGAGGCCGGCGATGGTGGCCTTGCCCTCTGGGGTGTCCAGCGGTGGCAATGAGGAGGGTGACACCGGCCGTGCCAGAAGCAGGAGCAGGAGCAGGAGCCCCAGGCTGGACATGGCTGGCTTCTGCTTGAGGCTTGTGGAGTGCTTTCAGCCCAGGCCAGCCCGCTCCACGCCCTCCTCCTGCCTCCTCCCCCTTCTCCCCCTGCAGAGCTGCAGACAAGTGGCTGGGCAGGGCTGACCCAGCAGCTGGGGTGGCCTGGGCCAGGGCTCTGGAGGGACATCAGTGAGGCCAGGACTGGGTGTGGAGCCAGCTGGCCAAAGGCTGGGGAGAGGAGCTCCCACCTTTTCATTCTCACTGGAGTCTCCAGGCTCACAGCTGCATGTTTGATCTAGCAACTGCAATTACAATGCAGAAATCCCCAAACACTGAAATGCAAAGCTGTTGTTTTTAAAAATACATTTGGAATAAACTCATTTGAGGGTACACCTGCCCCAAACTGACCGAAGATTCCCTGGAAGGGCACCTGGCTGGTAGAAACAGAATATGAGCCACAAAGACAAGCCACATGGTCACTTACAAATTTTCTAGTAGTCACATGAAAAAAACGCTGAGAAGCAGGTTAAATGAATTTTAACAACCTATTTTATTTAGTCCTGTAGTTCCAAAATATTACCTTTTCAACTTAATCAATATACACATGATTAAATTTTACATTCTTTTTTTTAAAAAAAGAATTGTGTGGATGATGATGACCTCCAGGTCAGGAATTTTTTTAAATCCCCACCCGAGGATATTTTTTCCATTGATTTTTAGAGAGAGTAGGAAGGAGGGAGGAGGGGAAGAGAGAGAAAAACACTGATGTGAGAGAGACACATCGACTGGTTGCCTCCCGCATGTGCCCCAACAGAGGGTGGGGAGCAAACCCACAACCCAGGTACATGCCCTCGACTGGGAATCAAACCTGCAACCCATGGGACTCTGGGACAATGCTCTAACTACTGAGCAAACCAGCCATGGCTACATTCTTTTTAAAATATTATTTTTCTTGTATGAAGTCTTTGAAATCTGGACGAGTGTTTATACTCAGGGCACACTTCAACTTGGCTAGCCACATTTCCAGAGCCCGATAGCCCCATGTGTGGCTCAGTGGTTGAGTGACGATATGAACCAGGCAATCACCGTTTGATTCCCGGTCAGGGCGCATGCCGAAGTTGTGGGCTCGATCCCTAGCAAGGGGGGGTGTACAGAGAGTAGCTGATTGATGATTCTTATCATTGATGTTTCTATGTCTCTCTCTCCATCTTCCTTTCTGATATAAAAAAAGAAAATAACAGACTTATTGAGATATAATTCATATACTATAAAATACAGGCAGTGTCTTTTAAAGTCTATTCACAAAGCTGTGCAACTACCACCACTGTCTTATTCTTGAATATTTTCATCACCCAAAAGGAAACCCCATACCCATTAGCAGTCACTTCCCACTCCCTCCACCCCCTCAGCCCTCCATCCCCTGGCAGCCACTAATCTACTTTCCATTTCTATAAATTTGCCTATTCTGGACATTTCATAAAACAATCATACAATATGTGACTTTTTGTATCTGACTTCCTTCTTGTAGCATAACGTTCTCTTTTGGGGGGCAGTTTTATAACCTTATTTGACAATCAGCAGTTAGTTTTCATCCACATTAACTGTTCGCAGATTTATGGAAGTGGTGACAGGTATGTAGGTAACCAATGTGTAGAACTTGGTCAATCTGCATCCTCATTACGTGCTGTGGACAACCACATGGGATATGGTATGGGACATTCCTTATTCCTTTGCCCAGACGCCTTTGTTGAGCCCAGTGTCAATGTGTAATTGTGGAGCTCCCATCTTCATGGCAGATTTTCAGATCTCTTTGAGTGTCCGAGGGGCACGCTTCTTGAAACCCAATCCATGGATGCACTTGTGAACGTTGATGGTGTGTTCTCTGGTCACCACCTCATTGATGGGCGAGTGGCCTCTTCTTCTCACCACTCTGTTTTGCGGGAGCCATTATGCTGGGCCCAAGTTGGAAAGAAAGAGCTTGAGATATTGTCAACATAATGTTTTCAAGGTTCATCTATGCCGCAGCATGAATCAATACTTCATTCCTTTTTATGGTTGAATAATATTCCATTGTGTGGATGAGTCACACTTCATCCACTCATTGTTGATGGACATTTGAGTTGTTGCCACCTTCCTGCTATTGTGAATAATGCTGATATAAACACCCATTTACACATTTTTGTTTGAAACCTGTCTTCAGTTCTCTTGGGTATATACCTAGGATGCAATTGCTGGGTCATGTGGTATGTTTTATGTTTAATTAGTGAGGAACTGTCTAGTTATTTTCCCCAGTGGCTGCACCATCTTACATTCCCGTCAGCAATGTCTGAGGGCTCTTCGTGCATACATTTTTGTGCGAACTCCAGTGAAGTCTTAATACTGCAGATATACTATATATTTGTTTATGCACTGTATGTATCTAGGCTTCACACATAAAAGAGTAGATTTCCTTAGCTTCCCAAGATCCATCTTTTGCCCTCTTGAGTGTGCCATTGAGAATGGGTGTTCCAGGTGAAGCTTGGTGCTGTCGTCACTTCTGTTAATCCTTACAGAGATCCTGAAGTGGGAACTATTCTCATTCCCCTTTTAAACATTTGGCTCTGGGGGGGCGGGGGCATGGTAAGTGACTTACTGTGACCCACAGTCTCACAGCTAGTATCAGGTGTTTCATGCATGCCAGTTCCTGAGTTGACATCTTCGGCATCAGGAAATCCTGCCAGGGTTCACCTCCTCTCTCTGGAAGGGGAAACAATATCCTCCTGATCTTTGGAAGGACTGACTCTCATGGGTGAATATCAATGGGACAAGGAAGGTAAGCTGGGCTGGCTGGCAAGGCAGCTTACTCCTCTCTCCCTAGAGAAATGTTCTCAACTTCTTTTCCAATTGGAGTTTCATCTTCCATAGCGAGGCATTTACTCTCTGTTATAACCATTGTGCCTGGTCCTCATCCTTTTAGATCAGGGTTGGGGAACCTTTTTTTCGGCCAACGGCCATTTGGATATTTATAACGTCATTCGCTTAATATAATTCACTTAATATAAATTTGTGTTGTTATGAAAAAAAGCTCCTAGATTTATTGACCTTCAAGTCCCGCCTGCGGTTGCCTTGGCAGGGCCAGACCAAATGATTTCAAGGCCTTCTACGGCCTGTGGGCCGGACATTCCCCGCCCCTGCCTTAGATCATCAGAGCAAGAGGGGCGCTCTGAGATGTGAAGTTCCCTCCCTTAATTTACAGGTCAGGACAGCTAATCGATCTAAAGTGACTTGCTCAAGATCAAGGAACCCACGAGGCTGAGTTCTCCAGATCCGAGCCCCCCTCCACCACAGAAGGTGGACGGAGTGGGCAGGGCACATGCAACTAAAGGCAGGAGCCTCACTGGTAAATGAGGGGATAATGAGGCTGCCACGGTGACTGCCCACCCTCCCATCTGTACACATTTACTCGCCCTTCCTTCCCCTTTCAGATCAGGTTTCAAGCCCTGCCTTTGCCACATATTCATTAATCATGTGACCTTCAGTGTCCTTAGATGTAAAAAGGAGAATCATAGGGCTATTGTGAGAACCAAATAAGAAATGTGCTAAGTCGTGAGCTAGGGTCACCAAGGAAGCACATCAGCATGGTCCAGGGGGCACGAACCTGCCCAGGCTCTTATCCAGGGAGGAGGTTTCTTTGTGGAATGCGTAACTGGGTGAGGCAGGTCTGAAGGTGAGTGGTGGCTGTGCTGGGTGCTCTGCCGGTTCTGGGGCAGCTCCCAAGTAGGGGCAGTGGGGGTGGCTTCACCAATACGTTCTCCATGTTCTTCAGCAAGGGGACCCCTTTCAAAGTCAACAGGCTGTCACATGCACACACACTAAACTCGGCAGTGTGACTACTTTGGGTGGTGACTTTGGAGGGTCAGGGGGGAATTTTTTCCTCAATACTATGGATACTTAAAATCATTATGGCTTTTACTTTCTTCTTTGTCCTTCCCTCTTCCCTTTCTCTTTATGTTTTAAATGTTTTATTCAAGTACAACACATATCCTGAAAAACGAATAAGTGTGATGTTGGATGAATTTTCCCAAGTGGAACACACTACGTTAGGAGCACCCAGACCAAGAAACATGATTGCTCCACCTTCCACCTTCCCTTTGACCCCCTCCCACTCACTTCCTGACTCTCCAAAGAGGTCATTCCCCTGACTTCTGACAGCAAATGTTGTGCCCAGATTTCAAAGTTCCCAAGACCCCCAGGGAGCCAGTCAGTCCGATGCAAAAGCAAAGAGTCCTTTTTAATGCAAGCCGGGTTGCGCTCCCGGTTCACCAGACCCACTAACACAGATGGAAATCCAGTGGCCGAGAGACCGAGGCCTAATGGGACAGGGGGTTATATAGGGGGGTGGAGTGAGGGCAGGAGAGGGGGCTGTGGGCCCCGCTGATTGGCCAGGCGCGAGTCGGTACAGGATGTGGTCATAGTGATGGCGTGCACTTCCCTTGATTATTATTGGTTAGTCCAGAGAAATCCGGGGCGTGTCTAGCAGCGGCATCTTCCGGGAAGAAACACATGGCGCCGTCCCAAAATGGAGGACCCAAGGCAAGATGGAGCATCTGCTCGGAGCAGGCCCGGCCCACAGGGCCGGGACACTACAGCATGGCGGCCTGCCCGGGCTAGGGCAGGCGCCCCACTCCGCTGCCGCCACTACACTGGGGGCCGCGGGTCCACGCGGCCAGCGCAGGCCCGGTCCGGGGGGCAGTGGGCGGGTGGCAGCCCGCGCTGGACTCCCCCCGGCCAGACCAGGCCCCAAGGGCCGCACGGACCCCCGGCCCCAGTGTGGGCAGGCGGGGAGCCGACCACGGGGGAAGGGCTCCCCCGTGGTGGGTCGCCGCCCGGCACCCCTTGGCCCGCCGCAGCCACGCAGCTGCAGCCGGTCAGGACACTCGGAGCCGGCGGGCGCGGAGGGATCCTAGAGCCCAGCGGCCAGCCTCCTCCTCCCGTTCGCCCTTCACAAAGACTATTTTATTTTTTAGATACTTGAAATACAACTTAATTCTGATTCTAAACGAAAAGGAATGAGAATGACAG